AGGTAGTCCAAGGAGTTTATGCTTTGTTCCATAGATCTGTAATTCTCATCTGCATGTTTTTAATCCATATTTTTACAGTTCTGTTTTTAGTTGGTTATATACACAGATTTGCATGTAATATCAAAAATGTATTAGGAAAAAAAAGTGTATTAGTTAGCCAGACATGATGGCACACACCTTTAATCCCAGCACTTGAGAGCCAGGGGCAGGTGGATCTCTGTGAGTTCAAGTCCAGTTTAATCTATATAGCAAGTAACAAACAAGCCAGGGCTACGCTACATAGGGAATGAGAGAGTCTGTCTGTCTGTCTGTCTGTCTGTCTGTCACCCCTATCCTCAGAATACACACACACACACACACACACACACACATGATATTAGTTGTTTTTCTATTGGTGTGATAAAATACTATAAGCGAAGCAAATTAGAAGAGAGAAGGTCTGATAGTGGCTATGGCTTCCGAGCGATAGTCCATCATGTCGGGGAAGGTATAGCAACAGCCAGGTAAAGCATTTCAGCAGGTGCAAGGAAGCTGACTGATCGCATTTCATCCTCACCCAGGAGAGTGAGGAGGGAAGTGAGAGAGCAGGAAGGGGACAAGGCAGTAAAACCTCAAGGCCCACCCTAGTGACATACTTCATCCAGTAGTCGCCACCTCCTAGAGCTTCCAGAACTTTCCCACACAATGCCACCAATTGGGACTAAACTCAAATACATGAGCTAATGGAGGGCATTTCTCTTTCAAAATATATCAGAAAGTTTATTCCATATAGTTACCCATGCCCCTAACTGAATCGAAAGCCTTACCCCACAGGACGTTAATACTTCCTAAAGAATCAGGTGAGTATTTATACTAAATACTCATAAATAAATATTTATGCTAAATGGTAAATGATGCCTGTCATGTATTCTTAGGGCATAGCTTATAAATGTTCTCTTTTTAATAGAAAATTTTTATATGTATGGTTTTTTTTGCCTACTTATATTCTGTATTCCATATGAATGTATGGTGCCCTTGGAGACTGGAGGAAGGTTTGGATCCTCAGGGACTGGAGTGTCCAACAGCTATGTAGGTGCTTGGAATTAAATCTGGGTCCTTTGGAAATGCTCTTAACGGCTGAATCATCTCTCCAGTCCATATGAAATGAAATTTTAATAAATGTTCAGCTCTCAGGAGTTCTTTGGATTTTCTGATACGCTAAGGGATAGTAGGCCCAAGAAAACTCCCCTCCGTGCTGAGATAAAAGCAAATTAAGGAAATAAAAACAAAGATAATTGTCTTAGTTACCATTCTGTTAACCTGTTGATCTCCATGAGCAAGGCAGCTTATAAAATAAAACATTTAATTGTCTCACTAGCTATCATTCGCTAGAATTGTCTGTCCCCCATTCTTGCCTTAACATGTTTGCCGCCTCCTTCCTTTGACAGTTGGATTACTCTATCTCTATCTCTGTATCTGGTATCTATCTCTCTATCTCTCTATCTCTA